CTCAAACAACTCACATCTTTGTCAGTGAAACTGAGTGCTCCCACATCTCTACCTTCATGAGATTAAAGTCAGAATTCTGACTTTAAAGTCAGAATTCTGACTTTTTTCCAATATTAAAAAGAAGAAAATGTTTAAAATCAGTAAACTTTTTTTTTCCAGTGGCCCTAATCCTCTTCCGTATATTAGGTATGCTATTTATCCAGTTCATAATGTTTTTACACAGTCTGCTTATCCTGCAAGGCCACAGATTATCTGAGTGAGAAGTGTTTTGCATACAAGGAATACTTATTCAGTAACAAGCCAGATTCTTTCTCAAGAATTGTTATTGTTTAACCAAAGTATGTGTAATTTGTTTTGACTCTAACAACTTTCACAGATTTTTCCTCACTATAAGCAAAGGAGAAGAACTCTGTCTGGGTCAGAACAGGGCTGATTACCGTGCCATAAGGGCCGTATGATGAACTGTTCTCTTTTTGCAAATATATGAATATAAAGTTCCGACTGAGTGAAATCCAGGGATCTCAGTTTATTTAACTGGGGTGAATAGTTTAATACTTTTTTCCCACTACAAACGCTAATTAAAATCCCCATAAATCTAAATTTGGATCCAACACATCCCCTTTGAAATAAAACATTTTAAATATAGAAAAGTGTGCATTCCTTTTCTGCTGCTTCAGTTACACATTATTAAACTGCAGAAAACCCAATGATATCAAAGGGGATTTGTGAATTTGATCCGGAGAATTGTGAAATTGAACACTCTGACACATGTTCCGGTCCTTTTTGTCATTTGTTGGTAGATTCCTACCTAAATGTGCTCCAAGTAGGCTATAGATCAACGCAGCGTTCTGTCCTTCGTCCAGATCCACCGCTGTGATCGTGATCACTGATGTGCCGCTGGGCTCATTCTCAAACACGCTGGTGTTGTACACTTGCTTCGTGAAGCGGGGTCGGAAGTCGTTGACATCCAGAACCGTCACCAGAACCTCGTATGTCAAACAGGAAAGAAACTTTACTCAGGGTCCATAAAGACACGGTCGATATTGGCAGAATAAAAATCATTAACAGTTGGCAGATTTTCAACTATAAGCCATAAAACACTTAGTCTCACTGTAAATCATCCAAACCTTTTCTGTTTCAGGTCAGCTGGGATCACCAAACCGTACTTAATGTTTAAATGTCTCCATTTATTCATTCTCTTGTATTTCAGCTTTTAAACTGCATGATGGGTAATTTTTTCAGGATATCTTTCAACAAGTTTCACAGCATAGTTTAGTGTAGGGATGCACGATATTGGGATTTTGGCCGATATCCGATATGCCGATATTTTAAAACTCATGTAGCCG